GTATAAAGCATTAAGTTTGAAAGAACTATTATCACAAATTTTGTATTCTTTTAAAAACCACAGAGTAAATAAACTCCAAGAATTATTTGCTTCATAAACAATTTCATTTCTTATGTACATATAGTAATTTCATTAGAGAAAACCCTACATGCTCTTATATATATATGTCACTTAACATATAGGTTCTTAACTCAACATTTTCTGTAATACATAGAGATACAGTGACCTGTTATAGGGAAAAAAGTATAAAAGAGATAAATTAGGGATAAATCACTTTCATTTCAAAGGGATATTTCATTTTACTAAGTCTTTCATTCAAGAGACCAGTAAAATAGTTGCATTATTAGTATTTTTAAAATAGGAATTGATTTACAGGGAATGTCTCAGGAACTGTATAGAAATAATAAAAACTTTTACAGAAAGTATTATATATGCATTTCTTCCTAGTTATCTATAAGTATTTTTTAAAGCCTCTTATTTTTCTCTTCTTGACAGTTAAAGTGCTTTAAAATATAATAGACATTAAGAAAAACTATTGCAGTACTATGTAGGGTGAATTAAAAAGATATTTGGATTTTTTTGTATTCACTTCTGAAATAGTTATTTTGGTCACAGCAGTAAAATATAATTGGTATCAATGACATTTAAACAACACCATCAAATACTGTAACAGCCTTTCCTTCTTTTCTTTTTCCTTTTTCTATTAACCAATTCATAAAAAAAGAAATCTTTCCCACATTTTATCTTTTCTTTTGTCCAGAATCTGACCATGCATAGCCCAGAAGTCGTATGATCATGATTTAGTCTTTCCATCCATTTTCATCTATAAATAACGCTCTTGTTTGTTCCATCATACATTTCATTTAGTCTATTTAGCTTTACATCTTCCAGGTTACAGGTTTAATTAGTATCTATACTTAGCACATCTTATGAACTCTGCCTATGTCTCACACACTACTTGCTTACTCGTTCTGCACTTACCACTGTATTCTCCAGAAGAACACCAGTAATACAGCAAACTAACATTACTTCATCTATTCAGTTCAATACATTGGTATCACTGATAATGTCTGAATTATTTCACTCTTTTTCACCTTGCTTTTCCTCACTTTCCTCCCAATTTTGGTAATTTTGAAAAGACAATAGGGATGTTTTGTGCAAATTCCCCGAACTTATTCAGTTCTTCAAAAAATTTATATTTTATATTGACATATATCCTGTGAAATACATCTTTTATTTTTATTCTAGGAAACCAATGCTTTAGAAATATTTTCATGTAATTACAGTACCCTTAAAAATCTACTGACAGGTGATGTCTTCATCCCTGTTCTTTATATATGCCATTTATTTGACATATGAGACTTGCTAAATAGTCCCTTGTGCCACAGCTGCACTAGATCTTGTAGTTGCCCTCTTGAATGATGTAAAAATACACAGACAGGGAAGCCCTCTACACCTAATGGCTATAAATGAATTTCTAAGGATTATGTAGATGTAGAATAGCTAAGTGGCAGCTTCCTATCCCTCCCCAACATGGCTACTCACGACCAGTATTTCCAACAAAGCTCAGAAAAGTTAGACTTAGTCTCAATCAACATGCTCATCAATAAAAATCTATTGAATGTTCTTTACAATGCACTTGGAAAAAGCAGAAGTTAGCAAATTCTCACATTTATTTTATCTTCAGTGCTTTCCTAAAATGATCTAAATAAAATGTGCTATTTTTTAAGTCATTTTAAAACTTCTCTCTTTTAGGAGACTTTCTCTTTCCCAATTATAAATTCATAAAAAGTAAAAGAAAAGAGGCATATTTGGGGATAAAAGGGAATAACTTTAATATGCCTTGAAGACTGGGTACATAAAGAGAATGAGGTTGGGCAGAGTGGCAGAGGATTGCATAACATAATGCTAGGAGGTTTAGATTTTTATCCCTTTGAACCTAGACTTGTGCTCTCTAGCATCAAATATGGCTAATTACATTTATTTAATATAAAAATAAAAATTCAGTTTCTTTGGTACAACAGTCACATACATTTCAAATGCTCAGTAGTATATATACCTAGCAGCTACCAAATTAGTGCAGGTAGCTCATTTCTATTATTGAAGAAAGTTCTTTTGATAGTGATGCCCTGGAGTGGGTGAGGACTTGATAATATAACAACATAACACAGTTGAGCCACTGTGTTGTGTATTTGAAACCATCATAATTTTATGGTTGTATATTTGTACACAATGGTTGACTGCGTATATCAATGATACTTTAATAAATTTAAAAGAAAGGGAAGTTCTGTTGGACTTAAGGAAACATGTAAAAATTTTAAGCCGAGTTGGAAATAATAAAATTATAATTTTCCACAAATCTCTAGGAAGAATTTGATAGACTGAAAAAATGGTAGGGCAATTAGGATATAAATCAGGATCCATCCACAGGTTGTGGTTGAAGAAATGAAGAATGGCATCTGTGTGTGGGGGGGGATTAGAGCAGTGGGGGTCAAGGGCAGAGCTACAGTCACAGAGTAGGTACCGAGAGGATGTGCATGGAGATGAATTTAGGTTATATCCATGTGAAGTCTGATCTTGTGAGGGACATTCTAATAGAATGTACAATAGGCAATGGGATATTTAGGTTTACAAGATATTTACAAGGTCATTCTCAAGGAGATTAGGGAAAAATGCATAAATAGTTACGTGGATTCCTTGAAGTGCTGAGAAGTGAAATTGCTTTTCCAAAAAATATGAAATACATGTGGGTCTTCCCAAATGTCTTCTACTCACCACTGACACCCCCTAGTGGCCCTTACGTAGCTGTAATGAATAGATGTTACTGATAGGAATGTATAGCACTCTACAGGTGTGCTGATGTGGTTTGAAGTTTATAATTCATTGGTTGGGAGACAGATTTCAGAGTTATATTCCACCCCTCCCGTGTGTGTGTGTGTGTGTGTGTGTGTGTGTGTGTGTGTGTGTGTGTGTGTGTGTG